CTAATCAGAAACATGCGAAACAGGAATGTATGCACTGATCGTTTTCCAAACTACAATAAATTCCGCAGCGGTCGTAATCGCTTGCACCGATGCTGAGCCCGAGCCGGCGCTATCAAAATTGAAAAACAGTAGCTACTAGTACTTGTGACTTTGGTACGCGGAGACTGAAACGTACAGCCTGTGTTACGCATAAACAAAGTAGTCGTCGTCTCGGAATGAAAAAGTTCTTACGTAATTTATGTAACTGTTCAGGGGAACGTTTTAAGTAGGATATTGAATAACTTTTTTCACCATAAATACTAAATCGTGAAAATGTTATGCAACATCAAAAAAGTTTCGAAGAACAGAATTGTAATTTATTTTTCATCAATTATTGATCAAGTTAATAATAAAAAACTAAAATATTGATTTTAGAATTAAAAAGTTTTACAGTTTTCATTCTGAAATTAAAAATTATTTATTTAGTTAAAACTTTTTTATTCTGTTTTGAATCATTTTTTCTATGCATTGATACCTACTTCTAAGCTTAAATTAAATGATAAATTATAATTTTTTTTCGATGCAGTAATTTTAGTTTTCAAGTTCAGTATTATATATACCTGCTAAACTATAAGTAATAAGTTACTACTGAGTAAGACGATAAGGCGATGTTACTAAATGGTGCACCTTCTAATTTTAATTAATTACTCTGTATAAACATAGAATCAAATGGGATTAAGTCAAAGCTAGATTAAAACTTCCAGCTTAGGGTTTTAAGCATTCTCATTTACATCATTTCAAAAATAAAATTAACTTGTTGACTTTTTATGTAAGTAAAAATATCATATTATATAAAGTTAATTACGAGTAAATTCTTGATCTTAGATACCTACAAATCACAAATGTAAACAAATATTATTTAAGTTAAATGTATTTGAAACTATGCTGAGGAACATTTTTTAAACTTTATTAGTTTTTAATAACCATTTTACTCATAATTATGTTGTTCATATAATTTTGATTATTTATTTTAATCGATATCTTATCCACGATTGCTAAATCGAATCTAGGAAAAAAAGGCAATTGAAAAAAAAGCAACGGAAAAAAAAGTAATGAAAAAAAAGCAAAAGAAAAAAAAACAAATGAAATAAAAGCACAAGGAAAAAAAAGCAAATGAAAAAAAGGCATAGGTACCTACAGGCATAAGTGTATAACGTATAAGTATAGCAAAAATGTACACCTAATAAGTTAAAATAAAATTTCAAGTATAAAATTAAATGCATATTGGATTAATATTGCGTCAATATAAAACATAAATTTATCATAATATAATTTATAGTGTAAACCTTGTGGTATGAGATATGGCTAATAAAAAATTTGGTAGATCACGTTGCTTATCTCTATACTCTTCACATATTTTTTTTAAATTGAATTGCATTTTTTCATACTTCTTAAGTTTTTTTTTT